CACGCTGATTCACTATCCGCAAAAATCCGCCTTCTTCGCCAAACTCTTTCTCGTCTACAGTATCTGGTGAGTGGTGGTGATGGGAAATTGGATTAGAGAATGTAAAATAGATGAAGTTTTTTTACTCAAACCTTTTCCCGTTCGTTCCAGGTTCATCTCCGCGCCGATCGTCATCATGGTCGCCTCCTTCGTCATACCGAAGTACATGCGCGAGAAGATCATCAACGCCGTCGAGCTGGCCATCGCCTTCAAAGCACACCTCTTCTTTTTCGTAAGTTCTTTGCTGTTTTTGGCAGTTGAGCGACTTGCTTAGCTCTGGAGTTTTTTGGCGGGAAAACAACTGATTTCACTGCTCTTTTTGTTATTTTTTTTGGCGCAGTTTCTCACGCGTCCGTCGCGCGCCAACAAGAATTTTCCCTTTCACGTAAGTCGTTACACGGCGATTTCGCTCGCGGGCGATTTGACTTTAGATCGATTTCTTTTTTCGAATCTCTCATTTTATTTCAATTCTTCTTTGCAGGTTCGCACCACTCAGATCGCCATCATGGACAAGGCGGGCAACGTGGACACCGGGACGCTAGATCACTTCACCAACTACAAGTACGCGCCGACGAGGTCCACCCCGCTGAGCGTCTTTGTCCTCAGCAACACCGGCGGTGGTGGTGGTGCAAATCAAACGCCGACTCTGACGATGGCCAATGGAAATGGAGGTAATCACGGCCAACGGCAGGTGATCAGCGGCGGAGGCGGCCTGGCCTTCAACGGCAAAGGAGGCATCGGCGGCGGCGGGCCGGTGTACTCGCTGGCCAACGGCGGCAGCAATGGACATCACTTCACTCCCACCGATTCGGAGATGACCTCCATGACCAGCCTCTCCAATAGTGCCCTCTCCTCGACGCGGACCATCACCACGCCGCCGAACCAGACCACGACCAACACCTTGCCGATGGCTGAGGAGTAGAAGAGAGGGGAAACCTTTCATCATCAGCAGCAGCCTTTGTACGATCAATGCTCTTATTAAAAATGCTACCATTTTGGAGAAGTTTGATAGAAAGCTAGGAGATAACAGTAGGATAACTGGCTGTTCTAAAAACTTCAGTGTCCACTTTTGCCGCTTCCCTTCCCAGAGAAAGTGTTGCCATCTGCTGCTGTGGATCATAACTGATGATCCATCCAGAGAAAAACGTCTGCTGCTGCTGCTGCTGTTTGTTTACATCGAGTTTCCCAAAAGCCTCCTCAGCCAAAAATGTCCACTATAACTGAAGAATCATCATCACCACCTGAGCAACCACCAAAGATTGCCATCATCGGCGCCGGAATCGCCGGCCTCTCCGCCGCCCGAGCCCTCTTTGCCGGCGGCCTACAGAATCTGACCATCTTCGAGGCGGCGAACCGGATCGGCGGCCGCATTCACACCGTTCCCTTTGGTGAGCTTTCTAATTCTCTAATTTTCCCGGTTTCTAAAACCTTTTCCCTTTTCCTTTCCTAGGTGACCACCACCTGGAGCTAGGGGCCCAGTGGCTGCACGGCCAGCAGGAGAACGTCCTNTTTCTCTAATTTTCCCGGTTTCTAAAACCTTTTCCCCTTTTTCTTCCGCAGGTGACCACCACCTGGAGCTAGGGGCCCAGTGGCTGCACGGCCAGCAGGAGAACGTCCTCTACCGCTTCGCCGAGGAGCACCAGCTGCTGCCGGCGGACCCGGTGGCGGAATGTGGCGTCCAGGGCGCCGGCGCCTGGCTCCGCGACGATGACGGCGGCCTCGAAATTGAGGAGGGCGGACGCGAGGAGGCCCTAGTCGAGGCGCTCATTGCCTGGCTCGACGCCTCAAAGGCGGCCCTGGGAGAGAGGATCAACGGCCGCAAAGAAGAGGAAGAAGGAGAAATAGAACCGGTGAAGAAGAAGAAGAACATGTTCGAGTACTTCAGCGCCGCCCTGGACCGCTTCATCGCCTTCGAGGGCCCGCTCGCCGAGCGAGATGTCCGCCTCTGCAAGATGGTGGTAAGTAACCTTTGATCATTTAAATGAAAATGTAAACAAACTCCTCACTTACCTCACTTCTTCTTTTCGAACTCCATTCTGATTCAGTTCCGCTGGTTCATCCTCTTCGAGGTGATCGACAACGCCGCCGCCGAGGGTGACCTCCGCCAGATCTCCCACCTCTCCTACAGCGAGTACGAGGAGTGCGAGGGCGTCGTCGAGCTGGTTAACCTGCAGCACGGCTACGGGTCGCTGATCAGGGCGCTGGTCAAGGGATTGCCGCTGGAAGACGATAACTTTCTCCGCCTGAAGACCGCCGTCCGGCGAGTTGAGCCGCTGATGATGAAGATGAGTAGCTGTGATGGCGGTAAACAAGTCCCAAAAGTGAAACTACTCACCCGAAAGCTGTCCTACGACGTTGAACTTGAGGAGGAGTTGACCAAGGACTTTGAGGCTTTGGATGATGAAGAAGAGGAAGACGAAGATGAGGTGGAGGAGCACCTCTTTGACCACGTCATCGTCACCAGCTCGCTGGGCTTCCTCAAAGAGCAGCTGCAGCTCGAGGAGAAGAAGTCCCGCAGCTTCTTCGGCTTCTGCCTGCCACCGGAAAAGACGGCCCTCATCACCGCCCTCGGCTTCGGCACCATCGCCAAGATCTTCCTCCACTTTGAGCGGCCCTTCTGGCGAGAGGGCGAGCGCGGCTTTCAGGTGCTCTGGACGCCGAGGACCGCTCAGTCCGGTGACCAGCACAGCTACGAGGGCGATGATGATGAGGATGATGAGGGTGAAGATGTTGTTGTCAAAGAAGACGGAAACTCCTTCTGGCTTCGCTCCATCCAGTCCTTCGACGCCGTCCGCGGCCAGCCCCACCTCCTGATGGCCTGGGTCGGCTCGCCCGGGGCCGAGGCCGTGGAGCGGATGTCCAAGGGGCGGATTGCCCGCGCCTGCGGCCGCCTCCTTCGACGCATTGTGCCCAGCTCTCGTCTGAAGACGCCTTCAGAGGAAACCGTGATCGAGGATCCCTCCGCCGTCGTTTGCAGTCGCTGGCACTCGCATCCCTTCATCCGCGGCGCCTACAGCAACCGTACGGTGGCCTATGAGCAGCTTTCGGGAGCAGCTTTTCAAGGAGGAGTTGATCTCCTGGCAAAGCCGGTCACCGTGGGCGACCTCTTCAGCAACTCTTCAGCTGATGCTGATGATGATGATGATGATGATACTGATCGTCCTCTGGTGCTCTTCGCCGGCGAGGCCACCGATCGGACGCACTACTCGACGACGGACGGCTCCGCCCGCTCCGGGGCCCGAGAAGCGGCTCGTCTGCTGAGCTTGTACGACTGCCAGGGAAAGAAGAGTTGAAAAGAGTAAATCTTGTCTTGTTGATGTTGTTGTCCACTGTTTTCTGTACAAATTCCTCCTCCTTCATCCTGGTGATACAAATAAATTAGCTGTGTTGTACCGTATAAAAGCTTGTCAAGTAATTAGTAATTGAATGCACGTTTGTACATCAAACCCGACTTTTATGTTTCACGAATCATCCCACTCTGGTGCTGGTCGGTCGAGCTTTTTGTCAAGTTCAGCTGACAGACACGAGATGGCAGCAGGGGTTCCATAAAGTTTATTTTCTTGGTATTCTGAACACGAGAAAAATAAAATTCACGGGCGATTTTTTGACGCCACTTTCAAGATGGCGACGACGGTGGCGTTCCTAGCGGACAACACCCACTTTTAATGATCAATTCTGTCAATTTTTTAAATAGGCGTTTCTTGGGTCTGGAGCATCGTAAAATGATAAAACTTGTTTTAAGTGAAAGCTAAAGACTTGGCGCACAATCTGTTTGTAAAATAAATTAGTTTCGACAAGTTTTGGTATAGTACAAATAGCATTAAAAACTTTAAAACTAGATTTAAACAGAAAAAATTTGTCCAAATTAGTTGATTTTACACACAAATTGTGCGCTAAGTCTTTAGCTTTCATTTAAAGCAAGTTTCATCACTTTACGATGCTCCAGGCCTGAGAAACGACTATTTAAAAAATTGCCAGAATTAATCATTAAAAAGGGGTAGTTTCTAAAGTTGTCCGCTAGGAACGCCACCGTCGTCGCCATCTTGAAAGTGGCGTCAAAAAATCGCCCGTGAATTTTATTTTTCTCGTGTTCAGAATACCAGGAAAATAAATTTTGTGGAACCCCTGCTGGCCTCTAGTGTCGGCTGAACATAGCACAAAACCAATCACTACCTTCGGAGACTTTCCCCTTCGACCAAGTGTCTGACTCTGGGAGGAGCAGTACGACGGTGGTAATCAGCGATGGTTGTCCTGTGTTTTGATGATAACCACTTTTGTTGTCTCGTACAAGCGGAGAGCAGGTAATCAGCGCTTGTGTGTTTGCTTTGTTTGATGCCCCTTCCGATGGTGTTTCCAGCCGATGGTGCTCAGAAAAAGACTACGAACTGACAGACGTCAACATCACTGTACAGCAGACATCAACACCAGCACAGGAAGATCACCATCACCTTCACCACCACCACCTTCACTACCTTCCCACCACGATGGCCTCCTCACGACGCTTCGAGGACCTCAAAGACGAGCTCATCGCCCTGAAGGAGCAGATTCGCATTCACCTGCGTCGTAACAGCCGTAAGTGTTGCAGTGTTGTAAACAACATTTAGTATCTGCGACCACTAACTCCCTCCTCATCTTTCCTCATCACCCCAGACGAGGTGACCATCAACAAGATGTTCCTCGACGGGGACAAGCTGCTGGAGCAGCTGAAGGCCGAGGCGGAGCGCTGTCCGGCGTCGGTGGCCACCGAGATGAGCGGCCGCCTCTTCGCCGTCCGAAACGAGTGGGCGGCCTTCAGGAAGACGGCCCGACGGCCGGCGCTGCTGAGCTCAGTGGGCGGCGCCGATTACGGCCTATCTGGTTCATCATCTTCCGGGTCCGCCATTGGAGGCACCCGAAGCGCCGTCCTGCAGCAGGGCATCGACTCGCTGCAGAGTACCGGCGTCAGCCTGCACCGGGCGGAGATGGCCGCCCGGGAGAGCGAGGAGATCGGCGCCAGCGTCCTCGATGAGCTGAACAGCCAGCGGGAGCAGCTGCTCGGCGCCCGAGGGCGGCTGGACGAGGGCAATGCCAATCTGCGGCGGAGTGGCAAGCTGATCCGCCACCTAAACATGGGCCTCGCCACGAACAAGTGCCTGCTGCTGTTGATCATCGCCCTGGAGATTGTGATCCTCCTCGTGGTGGTCTACCTCAAGTTCATCCGCCAGCATCACTGGTTCTAAAAGAGGTCGGAAATGGTCATCTTTTTTTGCCATCTTCATTTGTTTATCATCCCCATCATCTTCTTCACCTCTGCGGCCTTTGAACCTTTCCACCACCACCCGTCTCTACACTTTGCATTCCCCCCCCCCTCTTTCCACACTGCTGCCTAGTCCTGCTGTAAACTTCTACCCATCTGTTGAATCATCATCATTTTAAAATCTGAAGAACATTTTTATTGCATTGATAATTAACTTTTAGTGGTGGTTGTGGTGGTCAAACGAACAAACAATATCTTAAATCTAAACACAGCAAACACAACAATGTTAGCAATTGGAGCTAGTTTTGCAATCATTGATCGAGAATCGAGAAGCTGAGAGTTGCGTGAAAGTGGAGAAGGCGGAAGATAAAAGCTGAAGAAGGTGGAAATAGAAATAGAAGTGTAGAGAAGATAACAGATGGAAGAAGAAGGGGAAGAAGTTACTATATAGTATACTGGTCTATTCTAATATGCAAAGTCTAGTTTTAGTGGTTAGAGTGTGGGTGTGTGTGTGAGTGTGGACGTAGTGATCAAGAAGAAGAAGAGGAAGTCCATCTCCTTAGTCCCTGGGCGCCAGCTCCACCAGGAGGAAGCTCTTCGGCTCCAGCTTCAGCTTGGCAATGTCCACCTCTTTGCCGACGATGCTCAGGTTCTGGCTGTCGGCGAGGACCACCCTGGCGACGCTCACCTCCCGGTCGAAGCCCACCCCGGCGCCGCCCTTCACCTCAAACTCCTGCGAGGTGGAGGCAAAGTTGATCACCAGCAGGTAGGCGTTCTTCTGCTTGTAGACACGGGTGACGGCCAGCACCTCGCCCTTGCCGTTGTGGGTCATCACCTCGGGGAGGATGGTGCTGCCCAGCATGAAGGACTCGGACTGCTCGCGACGGAGGCGGGTCAGATCGGCCAGCAGGCGATTTCGACCCAGGTGGGCCAGCGAGTCGACGGCGGTGGAGGTGGGCGAGGCGGAGGTGTCGGCGCTCGCCTCCGTCACGATGATCGGGTTCGACTTGGGCAGGAGGTGGAGGGCGGTGAGGACGGCCTCGGCCATCGTCAGGCCGCTGTGGACGCTGATGCGGTTGCCCTTGTTGGCGGGGTAGTCGACGGTGAAGGAGCGCCAGCCGAGGCCAATCTTCGCCTTCACCTCGGCGGCGGAAGGTGCGGCGGGAGTTCCGTCGGTGGTTTTGTTGGCCGCCGCCACCGCTGCGGCCGCAGCTTCCGCCTCCGCCTTGTCCGCCTCCTGGTAGTCGGTGAAGAGCTTCTTCAGGGCGGGCAGGAGGTTGTCGCCCGAGGCAGAGAGCAGCGACCACAGTTCACTCTCTGGCGCCAGCTCAAAGTAGTTCGCCTCGGTGTGCGACTTCAGGAGGCCGCCCGTCAGGCTGCTGCCGCTGACCAGCAGCGCCTTGTTCTCGCCGCCCGACTTGATCCACTTCCGAACCTCGGCCAGCGTCTCCGCCGAGGCGAAGGTTCGCGCCGAGGAGTCGTCCACGGAGGCGGACGGGTCGACGTAGAAGTCGCCGTCCACCTGGATGCCGTCCACCTTGGAGCGGACCCAGCTCAGCACCAGCGCGCGCATCTTCTCCTTCAGCGCCGCGTCGCCGTAGTTGAGGGCGGCCACCTGGTCGGTGGAGCGGGTGCCAAAGTAGAGGCGGTTGTCGACGTTGAACTTCCAGATCAGGTCGGTGCCAGAGAGGAGCGCCTTTCGCCAGAGGTAGTGGCCGGCAGTGGAGGAGGAGGAGGAGGAGGTGCTGGAGTTCTGGGAGAGTTCCCCTCCTCCACCGGAAATCTTCGCCTTCACATCGTCCGCCGACTGGCGGTGCCACTCATGGCCCACCGAGGTCTGGTCGAGGGTGAGCGCGTAGAGAATCTTCGCCTTCACCTCGTCGCCGTGGACGGCCGCGTTGAGGGAGGTGAGCGCGTCGCGGAACTTCTCGAGGACCTCCTCGGTGCCATTTTCGCTTCCATGCAGCGTCGGGTCGAGGAAGAAGGCGTCCAGGCCGGAGACGATGAGGGCGTCGAGGTTGGCCTCCTTCAGCGCCTTCAGGCCGCCCTCGAGCTTGCGCAGCTGAGCCGTGGCCGAGGTGAGCACCTCCTTGGGCGTGGCGCCGGTGCCGGTGGGCAGCTTCACCTCGACGCGGGCGAGGGCGCACTTCTTCCACCAGGGCAGCGATGCGGTGGCCGGGCAGCCCGGCGCGAGGGCGATGATGAGGACGGCGCCGACGAGCATCGCCACCCAGACGACCCAGAAGAGGACGAAGAGAAAGGTGCGCAGGCGCACCCAGAAGGGGTCGTTCGCGTACTTCATCAGCTCCTTCTTCGACATGCCCACGCCGCTGGAGCCGCTGCTGGTGACGTTTGGCAGGTTGACCACCGCCTGGCCGCTGCCGCCGCCATTGTTGGAGTTCTGCGAAAATTGAACCTATTTGGTTAGGATAGGGCAGGTGATCAGGATAGGGAGTTTGGAGTGCGGGAGTTTATTGGAGTTTTGGGCGGGGAAGGGGTCATCAGGCAAGAGATAGGGCGGGCAAAAAGTAAAAGAAAAGAAAAACGAAATCAAAAATAAAACAAAAGTAAACACACTTTAGAGACTAAGAAAAAAGCGAGTGATAAGGAAGGCAAATAAAGAAAGCAGTAGCTGCAGAGGTCTGCTAAGATCGTAAATCAGGCAGAGGAGAGGTATTACATCGGTCATGCTGGCTAAAGTGGGTGAGAAGGTGCAAACAATGGGGAGCACTGCAAATAATCACTGCCTATCTCCTCTCCAGTGGTTAACACTCTCAAATAAAGCTGCTGCTGATGGTTTAGTCCCTCGACTCGAGATGAGGGCGGAAAAACAATAGCAAAAGAAAGTGTGCTGCTAATCCTGCTGGTGGCGGTTGATAAGGACGAGTGAAAAAACTGTGTACTGAAACTGAAAAACGGCTGAAAAGAGCTTTGGGGACAGCGTCCAGACTATACAATCACGAACAATTGTGAAACAGAGATTTCACGCAGGCAAATCAAGCAAGCCAAGCCAATGCAGCCAATCACAGTCACAATCACAATCAGTCACTTACCGAATCATTTCCCTGGTTCAGCAACTTGACCGCCTCTTCGGGCTCGAGGCTCTTCTCTTGCTGCGAGGCTGCAGAAGCAGCTGCCGGTGGCTTGCTTTCCGACATTTTAGTCTCGAAGATGGGGTTCTAAGGTTGCAAAGTCAAATCGAGGAGAGAGAGAGAGAGAGAAAGTCTGAGGTGAAAATTGAGACGAGTAAGGCTGCTGCTGTTGTACAACGAGCTCTTCTTCAGCTGCTTCGGCGACGAGAGCAAACTGGATACTGAGGAGGAGAGTGGTGATGATGCTGGCTTCGGTGAGTACTTCACAGCGCTTCGAAGCTTCGAATTGGAAGCAGAAGAAGAAGAAGAAGAAGATTGGGATGGGTGACAGAGATAGTGGTGGTGTTGATGATGATGATACACCAAAAAATGTGAACACTACTCTGAACGAAGTGAACGAGTGAGTAGAAGAGACAGGATGCGCGTGTCTTCGCTGTGGTGGTGGTGGTGGCTCAGTGTGTGAAGCAGTCTCGATTGGGAGCAAGAGATGAGAGAAAGAGAGAGGGCAAGAGGGAGCAATGCTGCTGCTGCAGTCGATGGCGCCAGGCGTCATAAAAGCAGCGAGACACAGTCAGCCAGCCAGACAGAGCCACAGAGCCAGTCAGAGACGCCAGGGAGAGCACAGGGCGCGACTGCGCGCAAGGTGGCTCCCTTTTTCGGTGCAGAGAGAGAGGATACCACCAACGCCAACGCTGAAAGCAGAGCACACTGCAGAGCACAAGCAGAGCACACGGAGCAACCACTGAACTGAGCGCACACTAAACTGGAGCTGAACTAAATCGTCTCAAACGATGGTAGTGGTGGTGGTGGTGGCGATGGCGGCAATTCGAGTCGAAGAGCATCAGCCGACAGTATCACTCGGAGGAGTGCAATGGGCAACGTGCTCAGCGACGGCGGCAAACTGGTCGTCACAGGAAAGAAGTAAAGCGAAAAGACGGGTTAGAAGGCAAGGGGGCAAAGGCAGCCAGGCACAGTCCAAGGACAACTTGCTGTCTGTCTACAGCAACCACGACCACCACTCGTTACTGCTCTTTTTTACGCAACCTCGCTGACTGGACTTTGCGTTGAAGGGGAGAGTGTGGTGCTCTTTGGTGCCTCTTTGCCATTTGCAGTGTTACTGCGCTGTCTCTGTGAGCAGATGGCCGCCCAGCCGTCGCTAGTGACTCGTCGCTAGCCAGCTAGCTCAATCCTCGCCGACTATTGCGTAAGCCTCTAGTGTCCCTCTCTCAATGACTGTTGATATTAATTCAGGCGACAGGGTGCAAAATGTCTCCCTCATCTCCCTCTTCTCTTCTGTCTTGTCTGCTTGGCTGAACTGGCATGAGCAAAAGTGCTCTCTTCCGCTCGGTGCTGTACATCACCACCATACCACTGGCACTGTACACAGCCAATTTGGGTGCATGTGACAGCGACTTGACATGTTGAAGTGCCGTTGCCGCCGCCGCCGCATCAGGCTTCAAAAGATGAAGAAGAGGGAGGAAAAAGAGATGATAGCGGCGTGAGGACACTACTGCAGAACTACAGCAGTGTCACTGGCTTCGAGGCACTTTTCAATCAACTTGCTCTTGTTGTTCTTGCTGGCAAAAGAAATCGCTTGAGTTCAAAGTGTAAAGCTGAAAGTGATGATGATGATGAGGAAGAGATGTGTGTTGATGAACTGGTGGCCAACAAATGTTGTCTTTTGCTGTGCTAAAGTTGTTCACTTGGCAGATGACATTGCTCATTTTGCTTGCTCTTGTTGTCGTTCTTGTCGTTCTTGTTATTGTTGAAGGCACTGCAAAGATCAAGTGGGAAGTAGTGTTAGCTCTAGTCTATAAAAAAGAGAAAAAGGGGGAAAAAGAAAAACATTTTGATTAGTTAGTGAGAGAGAGAGAGAGTGTTTGTCTGTTTATTGAACGCGAGAGCGACTCGGTCTCGATTCATCCAACTTGCTGTTGCTGTACAAGTGCTTAGCTGTTGCATTTCTGTTNTTGTTGAAGGCACTGCAAAGATCAAGTGGGAAGTAGTGTTAGCTCTAGTCTATAAAAAAGAGAAAAAGGGGGAAAAAGAAAAACATTTTGATTAGTTAGTGAGAGAGAGAGAGAGTGTTTGTCTGTTTATTGAACGCGAGAGCGACTCGGTCTCGATTCATCCAACTTGCTGTTGCTGTACAAGTGCTTAGCTGTTGCATTTCTGTTTCGGTGTGCTGCTGCTGCTGCTGCTGCTGCTGTATCGGTATCTCAATGTGTTGATGATAATACTAAACAGTTTGCAAAAGAAAGCAGGAAAGAAAGGGAGGGAGGGAAAAATAGATAGGGGCGATGAGAGAGAAAGAGAGAAGTGATCATCAAAAATAAAATAATCAAAGAAAGGAAAAGAAGAGGGATTGCTGCTGATTCTGTTGCTGATCAAAGCTGTGTCTGTGACGAGGAGGGCGAAGTGGGGGAGTACAAAAATAAATAAATATATATGCGTGTGCAGAATCGGTAATAGGAGAAGAGGGGAAGAAAGAGAAGAAAAGAGAATAATCATAATAAATCACCATCAAATTACATTCAATTCAGCTTCAATAGTGGCTAGTAGTAAGTATTCTTCAGTACCGCTGTGATTCGTGTGTGCATCTGCGAAAGATCTGTGCTCTGTGCAATATCCCGCAGTATCGTGAGCGATACTGTGTCGTCAAAAAGAAGGTAAAAATAAAGAAAAATATAGGAAATCATAATCAAAAGAATCACACACTGAAGAGAAAAAGCAGTGCTCAAAAATCAAATCAAAGAGGAGGAGGGACAGGGAGGGAGGGATGAGGAGGGAGTTGTGCAGATCAACCAAACGACAACGTCAACAAAGGAAATCAGAAGGAGTTGTGATGATGATGATGATGAGATTGTGTGAATGGAGAGAGTCGAAAAAACTCGTCAAAAAAGAAGAAAGTGGACTGGAAAAGAGAATGAGTGAGTGGAGCAAAGATGAGCCAAAGAATCACACCCAAAAACACTTTCTCAGTGAGCACGGGCCGCCGACTCGCGCGCCGCCAGAATGAGCGGATTTAGCGTGGACAGCGGTCGGGAGGTCTTGAGGAAGCGGTGCTACAAAAGAAAAAAGTTCTAAATTAGAACCAGAAAAGTCATCTAACTAAAGCCAGCTCACCTTGAGCAGCTCCGAGGCGGACCACCGGCGGTCGACGTCACACTCGAGGCACTTGTCGAGAAAGTCGTTAAACTCCGGCGACAGCTTCTCCTTGTCCTTGATCTCCGGCTTGCCATTGGTGGCAATCAGGTAGAGCGCCTGGTTTGTTTGGGAGATAAAAAAAGTGTCAGTTCAAGTGCGTCTTAAAATCAACCAAATATCTCCACTTACCCTAAGCGGATTTTCATTGAGATAGGGCGGCTCGCCCTCAATCATCTCAATGGCCATGATGCCCAGCGACCAGATGTCCACCTTGGGCCCGTACTGCTTGCGGGTGACCACCTCGGGGGCCATCCAGTAGGGGGTGCCCACCATCGTCGTCCGCTTGTTCTGCTCGGGGCTGATCTGGGCGCAGAAGCCAAAGTCAGTTAGCTTGACGCTGCCATCGAGGCCGAGAAGAATGTTGTCCGACTTGATGTCCCGGTGGATGACGTGGTTGTAGTGGAGGAACTCCAGCGCCTGCAGCACCTCCCGACAGACGGCGGCAATCTGGCCCTCGTCCATGCAGGTCTCGGTGACGACGTCGGTGAGGGAGCCCCCGGGGAGGTACTCCATCACCACCCACAGCTCCTCATTGACCAGATAGGAGTCGAGGTAGTTGACCACGTTGGGGTGCTTATTCTCGCGCATCACCAGAATCTCGTTGACAATCAGCTCCTTCTTGGGCTGCTGCCCCAGGTTCATCTGCTTGATGGCCACCTCGATGCCGGTGCTAATTTCGATGGCGGTGTAAACGACGCCACTGGCCCCCCTTCCAATCTCCTTCATGCGGCTGAACTTGCGCTTCGGGTCGCCAATGGTGACAATGGCGCGCAGCCGCTCCAGAATCTCCTCGTCGGTCATCTTTGGCTGGCTGCCGGGGGCGCCCGGCTTGGGCGTCCGCGGCTTCAGCAGCGGCGTCGAGCTGGGCGTCATCTGCTGTGGCTGCTGTGGCACTAGAGAACGGGGACTAGCTGAAGTGGGAGGAGGGGTTGGAAGTGGAAGTGATGGAAGACGGGAAGTTTGGTCAGTGGAGTTCAAGATGGTGGGAGAGGATGAAATCTCCTCGGTCATTCTGTGGTTGTGATTGTTAGTAGCAGAGTGCCCGGAGGTGCTCATCAGCGTGGAGGAGTTATTGTTATGGCTGGCGGTGCTGCTCGCCGAGGAGGAGTGAGAACTGCCGCCGCTGGGCACTACCACCGACGAGGCGGACTTGTAATTAGAGCCGCCGCCGCCGCCAATCTGAAGACTGTCTACCGAGAGTCGGTGGTCATTCTCCTCAGCCGCCAGGCGATGGTTATTATTAATACTGGCAATGCAAGCATAGGCGGGCTCATCCTCATCCTCCTGAGCAGCAAGAACATCATCCTGAACGCTGTTAGCATCACCCTCAGCACCGGACAGCAGATTGCCCAGGTGAAAGTGGTTGTTGTTAGTGGAGGAAGAGGAGGAAGTAGAGGAAGAGGAAGTGGTCGACAGTGAGATGACCGACAGAGAGTTAGAGGCGAGCGAGTTTAGGGAAGAGGAAGTGTTAGTGGTGCGCCGGGCAGCGGCAGAAGCTGAAGACTGCTGCCGGCGCTGGAAATGATTAGAGGCAGAGGAAACAGAGGTGGAAGAGGAGGCAGAGGTGGTGGCAAAGGAGGTGGCAGAGGGTGAAGGAGCAATGGTAGTGGAGGTAGTGGAGGAGGTAATGATAGTCGCAGCGGCAGAGGAAGCATTGCTAGGAATGCAATCGTCCAAAAGTGGACTAGCCGAAAGAGAGGTAGTACCTGCGTAGTGAGATGGCGGCGGAAGGTGGTGGTGAAG